AAACACACACATGCATGTTGCAAGGGGGGCGTAGTGGGGCCACGGAAAACATATGATGAGCGAAACAGCTGCAAACCCAGCAGCGAAGCTGGCAGAGAAGCAGCGGCAGCAGTTTACTGGACCTCAAATTGCAGGCAGTCAGAAAGAGATAGGTAGACAGCATATGAGTGGGAGAGAACCGACAACCAGCTGAGTGAGAGAGTGCTGCAAGTAATGTCAAAAGACCGAAGAGGGGGGGAAAAAGCACTGTCAGCTGTGTGAGAGAGATTGAATGCAGGGCCATTAAACGGTGAAAATGAATGAAAATGTTTGCCAAACTTAATAAATGATTGTATATTACAAGTTTCAGCTTTATTGTACACTTTTAATCATATTCCAACAGTTTTTTCCCCATATTCTGGCTAGAGGTAGTCTGTAGAAGCAGTATAGAGAGTCAGCTGTCGGCCAAGAGAGCCAACAGCTGTTTGAGTGAAAGCAAACCAGTTAATTCAGTTTGAGTGGAGAACAGTTTTTAAAGAGAGAGCAACCAAGTGAGTGAGTTTTTTCAATAAATATTAAGAGCAAAGAAAACTCTTGAGTGGTAAGCAACGGCAATAATATTCAGGAGAGTAGCAAAGAGAAACTAGACAATTTGAGACTTTTGCTCTTTTACAAAACCACTCAAAGCAAAACGCCGAATTGGAAAACAATTTCCATGAAAATTTCAATGAAAATGAAAGATTTATGTAAATGCAAGAGTAAAACTGTAGAAGGAAAATTCAACAAAGTTGTACTTTGCAAACCCAAATTCGTGGAACATATTTTTTCTAGTCATTTCTGTTACATTTTCCAAGAACAATGTAAAGTTTCTCCAAGTTTTCCTCCACTTCATTTGCATAAATCAATTATGCATCTGTCAAATACTTTGTCGCCCACATCTCAATTCAATTTAAGTCAAATTTTCAACATTTCCCCAAAGCAAAAACATTTCTTTTCGTTTTTTTGGCTGCGTTTCCACTCAAAAATTGAGCCGGTCACGTCTGCTGCAAAGCAAACGGCGGTCGTTAGATGGCGGCAGTCATGCCATTTCTGGGGTCGACTTGGGAGCAGCAAGGAATCATTTCCCTCGGTAGTGGGGGGTTACTTTTGGATAGGGGAGTCCAAGCAGCTGGCTTAGGGTTTACTTTCCTATTAATTGTGACTCTCAAAAGTGCTCGAAATTCGTTTCTATGCCTGTTTTAGCTGATTTTAAGCCAACTCTGCACGCTAGATGGCGCCAGGCAGGCCGTTTTGGCTGCTGCTTGATGGAAAATTTGTAGTTTGCTTGGTTCTTGGAGGTGTTTCTAGAGTTCCTAAAACCTAAAGCTGTATAATGTGTCACATTTCTTTTGTTGCCAGGCTGCTTAGCTCTGCCCCAATGACATCACTCATAAATGAATATCTCTGAGTGAATTGTGTCCCATAATTATCGCTCGCGCAATTGAATGAGTTTCGCTTTTCAATTGATGAATATTCCAACCTTATCGCAGTGGATCGATCAAATAGCTTTAACGAATTCACAGCTTATCACCGTATCGCCTTTTTTCGACCCTCTAATCATTTGATATTCGAGGGATTCACACTGAACCAGCAACACCAACACCAACACCTGGGGAAATGTATCTGTATCTGTGTCTGCCATCTAACCTGCGTGCAATGAACTCGCTCCCCAAAAATTCTGCTCGTCATAGTTCTGTGGTTTTTGAGATACATTTTTCTTGGGCCAAAGATTTCCGCGAAAGTCGATCTCTTTTTTGGGTCGGATAAATGGATAATTTGCTCGCAATTTAGTGTCTGCCACACAGTAACTTTGCCACACACACACACACACACACAGACACCTGCCAGTTCTGGGAAACATTTTGGCATTGGTTTTCCCCCCCTCTTCGTACAACTCAACTTGTTCTTGTTAATTTTCTTTGGTTCTGCACACGTCTTGTGATTTTCCACCTTTCACTTTTTCGTGTTTTTAATGAAAATTTATGCATGTGTGTGCTGCGAGTGTGTGTGTGTGTGTGTGTGTGTGTGTTGGGTAAAAAAAAACTAATTTAAATTTACAAATTGCCTTCGGAGGGGGGCAGGCAGCACGCCTGGCATAAACTTGTTGAAAATGGCTTTCCCGGAAAAAGGCAGACAGCAGGCTGAGGGCCGAAAGGTAAAAGTTCTTCCTGGCTGTTTTTCATATGTGAACCCCATGGAAAAATCAAAGAAGAGAAAATACTATGCAGGCGGCCAAAACTTATTATTATATTATTATTTGTTCCCAATTAAAGTTGGAATATGAAATCGAATGTTTCGGCTGAATGAAACTTTCTTTAATCTATAAACAAAACCCGATGTATAATTTTTGCTGTTCATTAACCTCCGTTTGGCCACATGAATCACAATTCTTTGTGGTTTATTTTTGCCACTCTGCCAGGCTATTTCGCGCTGCCAGAGTGCCGATGCCCCGATTCCTGTTTCTAATCAATTGGCATGGGCCACGCCCCATTAGAGCATCTGAAGCGGACTGAAAGGGGGCTGGGCTGGGCTGGGCTGTGTGTCGCATTTCAAAGATTGCGAAATGCTCGGAACTGTTCAGGTTATCAAAGCAAAAGCAAAGGCAAAGGCAAAAGCAAAAGCGTTTCGCAATATTATTCGTACCAAAAAAAAAAAAAGAGTCGAAGTCAAGGGGCACGTCAGGCAGGCAACAAAGCAAGCTTCTCGTTTCAATTCATTTATTATCTGACAAAACACATCTACATAAAGCTAATGTGGCCCGAAAGATATCCTACACACACACACACACACACACATAAAGACATCGCACATGCCAGAGATAGAGATACGAATTCGTGCTTCAAGGAATTTCATTTCAATCTGAAAGAAATTTGATTTTATTTATACGCAAAGTCGGACTCTGTCTCTCCGTGCTTGTGTGTCCCTGTGTGTATCCACGAGATACATTTCAATCTTTCGTTTTCAATCTACGTGTAGCAGCCACACAATCTTTGGTCAGCCAACAATGGCATTTGGAGAAGCGACAAAGATGAAGCTGATGACGGCATAACCCGAGCCCGTGTAAAGGCAAGAAAATGCATTCAATTGAAAGGAAAGGACACACAAGTCCCGGATCATGATATGAATATGAAATGTTGCTACCCCCCACCACCCTCACATATATTACCCACACCACCCCGCCGCAATCATCTTTGTACAATTTTCACTTGCTGATGAAATTCACCAGAACAGGTCGGGTCTCCCGCTTGCGATTTAAGAGCGGAGCATCAATTTGATGAAATTATGATGAGATTCGTCATTAATTTGCAGCAGAATCGTGCGGCTATATGTTTATTATATATTTATAGCTGACACGTAGAGAAAATATATGGAATTTGAGGGGAAAGTGTGACCAAAAGAGAGCCAGGCCAAGCCTAAAGAATAAACTATTTTTTGAGCTCTAAATTTTTGTATCTAAATCAGCAAGAAATAAATGAATGTTGAGGATATATTTTCATTAATATTTTACTCAAAATTGGTGCCTAAACTTCACCAGAATACAAAACCGAACAGGTTCAGGACCGGTTTTATCCCTAAAAAAAAAAAAAGGAACTCCAACAAAAACTCCTCAAAGTACGACCACAAAAAGTAACCGGAAACACTTTTGTTTTTTCTTGAATATTCATCTTTATTTATCATTAATTTGTACATTTCTTTTGGAAAAAGTTGTTCATTCGTGCTCCTCCCCCTCGCCACGAAAAATGTTCAATTCGATTTTTTCCAATCGCATCCCAAAGATACACATGAACTTCGCTGCGATTGGAGTTTGCCGCACAAAACACACGAATCGGTGCGTGAACGACCCACAACTTTGTGAATTTCTTGGGAAATTTGCTTTCATTTTCCGACATTTAGCCCAAGGGTTGCCGCCGAGTGGTGGCGGTGGTGGGGGCGGGGGGCACCAGAGATGGCCAAAACAGCAAACAAATTGGCCAGAAACCCAAGACGAGAAGGCTGATGAATGGGTTGGAGAGTGGAGTGGAAATTTGCATTTGGCTTGGTTTAAACCAAACAAAACTCTGATTGTTGCACGAGTGCGACTGGGATCTGGCCTGGCAACAGCCGCCTCGAGCTGGGGCTCTGCAACTTGCAACGCAATGGCTGCTGCTGCTGTTGCCCCATTAGCCGGCAGTCGAATTTTGTGCAGTGGAAAATTTCAGTGCTGCTCCTTGCAGCAGCGGCGACTGCGACGACGACTGAGACAGCGCAGTAATGTGGAACGCTGCAGGAAGGGATGGTGTGAGGAGTGCGGGGCAGGGGCACAGGCAGGGTTACTTTGGTTTGTTGCTGCAGCCACTGCTGCTTCCTGGCGGTGGCGGCCGTAGGGAGAGGGAGAGAGAGAACGTTTTCATCATCCTTTTTCGAAACACGCTCAACCGGCGCAAAAGTCACGTATGCACGGCCAACACACACAAACGCACGAGCACACGGGCACACAGCAGCAGCAGCAGCAGCAGCATGTAGAAGAGCGAGCAGAGACAGCGACGCCGGCCGGGTTGTAGGTGCACCGTGCGCATGAGCGACCCAGCAACAACCAACAGCGAGCAGCGAAGAGAGCGTTCCATTGAGTGGAGTGAAACAGCTGACGTTGTTGCCAGGTTACAAGAGAGCTCCGCGAGTGAGTGCGACAGCGAGAGCTGTACAAAAAAAGTATACGACTTACATCAGCCATTCCGTTTGCCATGCCATGACTCCCCTCTACCTGCGTCAGGCACCCACAACAACAACGTCAGCAGCCGCAGCAGCGACAGCAGCAGCGACTGAGTGAGATACTCTTTTTGTAGAGAGAGAGAGAGAGCGCGATCCGCTAATTGTAGCCAGCCGCTCAACCACCACCACCAGCGGCAGCAGCGAGCAGCGACGTCGCCTGCCGACAGAGGCCTGGCGAGGGCTATATAAACGAGCGGTCGGCCACACTATACCCACTTCGGCCCGAAAAATTTTTTGAAAGACACTGCTGGGAGACAAACAGACAGTGGCCAGAGCAGCAAGTCCGACCAGAAACAGAAACAGAAACTCACGAAGAATTCAAAAAGCAACAGCAAGACAATGTACTTGTAGCAAACAGTTTTCTGAACACTATAAATAATTATTAATATTTGCCATCAACAAATGAAACGGACCAACGCCATTAAAGTGATACAACCACAAATCAAGTTTAAATAATTAATGAAACAACAAAAGTGCTGTGATTCCACTACAAAACAACAAAAAAGCTAATCTAAACCAACAACCAACACACACACACACTCTGCAGCAGCAACAAATTGAAGCAATCAGCGGCAGCAGCAACAACAACAGCAAATTGTGATAAATTTATTAAGCAAACATAAAAAGAAGCAAGAAAAACAAACATATTATTTAATTGTTACAACAAAACACAAAACGTTTCAAGTGATACAAAAAGCAAAGGAGAATAAAAAGCCGTCGGCGAAACGCATCCACCAGAGAGGAAATTTTCGATAAGAGGGCGAACGATTTTGATACGAGAGTTTTCATCCGATTCGATTCGATTTTCTTCGAAAAAACCCACAAAACACCACACACACACACACACTCAGCTCCAAATGAAAATGGAGGTTATTCCCGTTCAATCCATCTACGGCGGTGTGCTGGGCTCAAACAAAAATAGAGGTAAGTGTGCAAGAAGATAACTTCCCCTGCCAAAAAGAGTAAAGAAAGTTCTGGAACAGTCCGGAAGAAGTGTGCGAAAACGCAGAGCAGCAAAAAGTGTTCAGCAAGAGCAAGAAACTACCAAAAAAAAACCCAAGTAGTCCAAGTAGTTTTCCAAGAACATAGTTCCGAAAAAAAAGGAAATGATAAAGCAGTTTTTCCCACTAGACTTTCCGAGATTTTCCGTTTCTGTGAAATCTAGCAGCATGCAAAGGAAAGGTATATTTCAGCGTCCTCCTGCTTTCCCTGTAGCCCTGAAAATTGATTCAGTAAATAATTAAACAAAAAAATGCATAAAAAATCAATTTGCAATTACAACAGAAAAAATGTCATAAAAAAACGAGGCAGCAACAGCGGCAAATCATGTTAAATTGTTCAACAAAATTAAGTAAAACAAAAGGCAGACAGCGAAAGAGGAGAGAAGAGGAGTGGATGAGAAGAGGCAGTGAAACAACAGCAACATGGTCACGTAGGCAGAGAAGCAACAATAAAAAGTGATTTTTCGTTTGGGCTCTTGCCCCCTCTGTCGATTTTTTGTGTGTTCCGCTTTTGTCTTGCCGTTCGCAAGCGGTTCGTTCGTTCGCTGTTGCCAAGCGGCTTTCCGCTGTCCGCTATATGTGCGTTTCCCTTTGATGCTCCTCTGCCCCCACCCAAACCCCACGCACACTCGGTCGGGCGCACTCTTGGCGTTTGTTTAAACAATTGTGTACTCATCAGCATCTTTCCTTTTTCCCATTGTTCTTACAGATTGGACCAGCACCCTGACACCGCCCGCGTCCGTCAGTGTGGCCATTGACGCTGCCGTGAACGCTGCCCCGCTCAAGACCAAGGGCTCCTCCGCCCGCGGCAGCGATGCCTCCAACTACAGTATTAAGCACAAGCAGGCGCCCACCAGCCATGCACACAACTACAGCAAGAAGACGAAGCCCAGCAGCGGCGGCTACTACTATGCCGGTGAGGTGCAGGCCGAGGATGAGGAGGAGCAGGCGGCCCCCGCCGACTTGGACATGCGGGAAGTGTCGCATTTGTCGGTGGCATTCCTGGATGAGCTGCGAGCGGCCAAGTCTCGCCACCTCACCTGCACGGAGGTGTCGCTGCCCTGCGATCTCGTGCCCAGCATCGCGGCCGACATTGTCCGTGTGTCGGAGAAGGAGCCTTGCGGCACACGCGGCTGCACCATCTACATCGAGTTCGAGGACGAGCCGAAAAACTCGCGCCGCATCGCCTCCCTCAAGCTGGACCCCGAGACGGTCTCCAGCTTTGAGGTGTACGTGACGCTGCGCCAGGACCACCGCGGCTGGACCTCGCTCCTCCCGCAGTTCATGAAGAGCCTGGCTCGCACGATCACGATCAGCCCCGAGTACACGATCACCAAGAACAAGTTGTACTCGGCCGAGGGGCCAGGTGCCAGGCGCAGCTACAGCTTTGGCAGCAGCCAGAGCCGAGCCATCGCCACGCCAACTGTGTAGGAGAGCAAAGGGTGAGAGAGAAAGCGCCCAACACCCCTGTGATGTCAAGAGAGAGAACGAGAACAAGAAGGAGTAGTTTGTTGCGATCGGCAACGCGACGACGAAGCAAGTATTCGAAGCCACCCCACCTACACACACATACACACACACACGCCCCAAATACCCACAAACACACACACACACACACACACACACACTCTCATACTAATACTAGAGCGAGAGCAGGAGAGAGCCTCTCTCTGCGACTCAATTTGTAATTGTGACTCTCACCACCATTTACTTAGATGCGTAGTGCTATAATAACTAGACTTTTAAGTTGTTTCTCCTTTTTCACCAACGAAGAAAGAAAAGAAAACAAAATGAAAAGCAAAAGCAAAGCCAGAGCAAGAGCAAAAGTAAAAGCAAAAGCAAAAGCCGATGCAAATGCAAAAGCGAAACGAGAGGAAAACCCAACATGAAATTCAAAGATGGCAGCCTCACCCCCCAGTGGGGGTCGGGCCCGTCGACAACTCATGAATATGTGATACTGTTTAAGATGCTAAGAGCTCCCCAGCCAGGGCCAGGGCCCCTCCAGGCTCCTGGCCCGGGGACGTTGATAATACACACCTACACACCCACAAACCACACATACACCACATACACACACATTTACACCCATACAGAACAGATTTTTCGAAGATTGTACGGTAACGAACAATTGTAATAAACCACACAAAAAAAATACACCCCACACTCACACACACACACACACACACACAACAACCAACAAACAAACAAAACTTGATCTTGCTAAATTTAAAATTTAACTTTAAAAAAATGCTGAGCAATCAGTGGATGATTTGAGAGAGGAGGAGTTTTAGTTAGACGCAGCTTGCTGCAATAAAATTTTTAAATTATTAATTAATCTTAATTAAAACCAACAAATTTTAGGATTTTAACAAATTTTTACATATATTATTAAATGTATAGCGCGTACCCCCATCAAAAAACAAACAAAAAAAGGAAAGCCCACACAAAAAAAATCATCTAAAAATAATATGTAGCGTGTAACAAAAATGTAAGGCAAAAATATCTCAGTAAATGTGAAAGCGTAAAAAATTTGTAAAATTTTTTGTCTGTGTAAAAACTCCAATTGCGATATAAACAAAAAAATGATAAATACGAAGGAAAAGCCCTAAATGTGTAGCAGCGAAAGATAAAATTAAAAATTCGAAAATTTAAATGTAAAACTAAATGCGATATAATTTTAAAAAATTACAAAAAAAGAAAACTTAATGTTCTCACAGATACACGACCCAAACACACACTCACACTCACACTCACACTCACACACCGAAACACATCCAAAAACACTCATACACGAAAGTATCTATTACCCGCAAAAAGTATCTATCAAAGCGAAGAAAACTATTTATTACCGAAAGATAGAAGAGAGAGAGAGAGAGAGAGAGAAGCCCGCAAAATACGAAAAATACATGTATTAATTTTTTTATCATTACAAAAAAAAAACATAAAAGCAAAAACAAAACGTATATTGTATCTAATGTTAAGTTTTTTTATTGCGTAAAGCAACAAATAATTGTGAGAAATTTGTAACCAAAACAAAAAACCAACAAAAACACACACAAAAACCAACAAAAAGCAACAACATTTTGTGCAAAAAAATCAACATTCAACACGTACAGAGAGAAAAACAAAGGCAAAAAAAATTACAAAAAAATAAAGCATATAATTTTTCCTGCGCTAGCGGAAAATAATTGTGGAAAAAATTAAAACAAAACGGCTTTCTTTTCTGCAACAAGGGCGACCGTGCAGTAGGGGTGCACGAAAAGGAGGAGGTGTGGTAGCGCAGAGCGAGACCTGGCTCAGCTGAGCTTGCGGCCGCTGTTTGTAGCGGGTGCACGAGAAGGAGGACTGTGCTAGAGCAGCTCTCAGCTCAGCTGAGCTTGCGGGTGCGGGTGCGGGTGCAACTTTCTTTCAACGGCGGCAGCGCAGCGCAACCCAACCAGTGAAAATCGGCAACGTCGCTACGCGCACACGACAACCCGTTACGTCCGACCATGGCAACTTTGTTGCTCTGGGTGCTGGCTGCTGGCTGCTGCAATTATCGCTGGGCCACGATCTGCAGGGGGATGACAATTGGGCAACCAGTTTGGGCTAGGCCCAAAACAACAACCCGTTGCTTCCCGTGGCACAACAATATGTATACGAGCGAGTACTCTGAACTTGGCTGAAGTGCGGCAACGTTGCAGCAGCAGCCCAAGACAGGCTGAGGTGGAAGGTGAAGCGGAGTGGCGGACCGACCGAAGATTTGTATGCTGAAAGCTGCATTTTGCTGTGACTACGAAGAACCAAAGGAGATATGAGGGGTAAGTGGATTTATTTATTTACTATAAATATTTCTTAGCTAGCCAGTTTGAAGACGAGACCTATTATAATATAATATTTTATTCTATTTATATTTAATTATTGTCACAATCTTAGCGCGAGTTCAAGGATGAATTGATGTTTCCATCTCTTGAGCTACCAAATCGTACAGCACCCTATACTTTCCATCGAATGTACTACAATCTATCATCGGCAAATTGTAATCGCTTCAAGGTTAGCGCACAGCAGAGAAACCATCGCATAACCCATGCTGTCTGGGGGGGCAGCTACACACACAGACCTCAAACACTTTCGGGACTCGGCGTCATATTCCGTCATGTCCAAGAATAGATAGACAGGCAAACAGCGGGAAGAAAGGGAAGTGCAAGTGAACTCAAAAATCGTTGACAGAACGAAACAACTTTGTACAGTATGCGAGTATCTCTCGCTGTGTGAACCGAACTACTGTATGCTGGGGACAATCAGATCCAATTAGATGCGAAAATAGAATTCAATTGTCACGTCATAAAAGATTTAATTAAATCAATTTCACGTCACAATCGTTTTGCATATTTTTGGGGACATTTCGTTTTTATGTTTTTCATTTTTATGCCACTCTCTTTTCTACTCTTATTTTGAACATTTTGTTGCTTTTGTTTTTCACAATTTTTGTGTCGCATCCAAGGCGACTCTCTGACGCGTCTGTCGCTGATAATTTCCTTGACTGTGTAATTTATAGATGTTTTCATTAATATTTGAAGAGAGGAATTTATATATAAATATCCTCTAATAGTTTGGCATCAACGTAAACACGTTTCGATTATTACCCACACGCGTCGCCCAGCCGATGCGTATTTTCCCATAGTTTTCCCATCCGAAACAGAACTCTGGTTGGAAACATCTGCACGGTATTCCCCGATACGGCTGCCAGACTCCGGTATTTCGAGCCGCAACAGTGTCTTACCAAATAAATATTTGCCATATTATTTAACCTGTTGTTTGCACGGGCTCTCTGCCTGTCTGTCTGTCTGTCCCCCCATTCCGGGCATTGTTTTTGTTTTGGCCTTTTCCCTGTTTTCCATTAGAAGGCAAATACTAGAACGAATAAATAGATTGGGTGTGTCATTTCTGTCCACAATTTGCTGCATATTTTCAAATGCGGAATTTCTGTTATTGAGGAACACAAAATATGTATGCAAATATTAAGAGAAACATTTCTCGTTGTTGTTTTTCTTTTTGGCAAATATTGTGTCAAGTCCTCTGGTCTTAATTTTTTCAAACACAATTCCCACCCACAGACGTTCTTCCCTGACAGTTGTCGAGCCAATTAATTTTAGTTTTTGTGTGTGTTTTTTGTTGTTGGGTTATTTGTGCCCATGGAAAGTCTCCAGTTGTGCGGCACGTGTGGGGATCCAAAGCCACAGCCCTTTCCCCACCACACACAGATTTAGTTGTCTCTCGATTTAAAATTATTTTGCGCAGCGAATGAATCCTCCTCTTGGCCACTTGTCACTAGTTTTTGTCGTGGGGGGGGGCCCTGTTTTGGGATGTTCTAATTTTCGTTCGTGGCACGTGGCAGCGACATACAATTAATTTCTACACATAGTAAAAGCGAAGAATTGAAAAATGCTTTTCCCCAGAAAGTGACATCTCATGTTTTAATCTATTGGCGTGTTTGCCTGATCTGCCCTTGATGTGCTGCTGAACCTTTGGACTCCATAATTCATTCTATTCTTAGTGGGTTTCCATATTTAATCGCATATAAATCAGGCCAAAAACTAAAGTTCAGTTAAGCTACATCCCTCTTCTCCTGCCTTACAGCCTGCTGCCATATTATAATGCCATCAGTTGCCCATTGTGACAGTTGATTGTTCCCTGCTGCCCCGCCACTCAAAGTGTCATTATTCCCACTGTACGAAAATTGACCCACTCCAACCCCAGTCCGCAGCCCTCAATTGTCATGTTTCTTGACAATTTGTCTATGGGCAATCATAGCAACAGCCAATCCCATTCATAGGGCCATACATTTATGCATCCAACCATGCATCTATCTATCTATCTATCTATCTGTCTGTGTGTCTGTGTTCTCTGACAGTTTCTATGACCTTCAAATCTTTACAATTCGGTTCGCCCTCTTCTCGCCGAGAGATTCTTTTGAGGGTACGGACTCTGTGACTCTGCCTTTGGGCACTCCTCCCTCCTCTATCTTTTGTTGTAAGCAAACCACAAATAGATCGTACAATATATTATACCGATTGGACATGGCCCGTACCCCCTCCTGCTGCCTTTCTCCTGCTTTCTATTCCAAGTTCTTAGAGAAATGTTTCTCGCCTAGGAAAAATCTTTGGGACCGAGTTCAATGAGCAACTTTGTTCGTCTATGGCTGTAATGGATGAACAGTGAATGCTCGATAATTGTTATCAAAAGTTATTCAAGAAATAAGCCATAATAAATAATCATTTAATCATTTACAGTCTGCTGTTGCTAGGCGGAAGTTTTCCTTACCTATTCTGTAGCTAAACCCAATCTTGGTTCGATGAGGAATGAGGCCATTCCGGGGGGTAGAAATAACCTTGAAACTCATTTGCATATCTATTTATCGAGCCTCCACTGTACATCTCTTGTGTGTGTGCCATTGCATTACAAATTTTTGTTTTCTGTTTTTTTCAACTTTTCGTCTCTTTGCTGTGGCTGTTTTTTGCCCTATGTATCTGTATCTGTATCTGTATCTCTGACTCAATTGTTGGTATCGCGCGCTGTAGATTTGGTTTGTTTTTTCAACACCCAAAAAAGGAAACAGAAACAAAAAACTGATAAGCAACACTCTGCCGCTGTTAGTTGTTGCTGTTGTTGTTGTCGGTGTTACCAACGGAGCAGCCGCCAAGCCATCGACTGTGACAAACAAATGACGAGACGTTGAACGGTGGACGGCGACAGAGACGGCGACGGCAACGAAAGCGGAAATGCGAAACTGAACAACAGAGGCAAGAGGCAAAAGCGAAAAAGGAAAGAAAACAAAAAATAAATGTCAACAGTAATTGTAGCAGACCCAAGGTTTTCACAATATGAATGATAGCTACACCAAATACATACATACACACATATGTACATCATACATATGTATGTTTGTGTGTATGTTTACAATGTGTATATTTGTTTGTACACTTTCCCATTTTTACCTGGCGTGGCAACACAGCGACGAGTATAACAAAAGAAGCAGCACAGCGACAGCGGCAATGTAAATGTTGCCATGGGCTGGCTGCTATGAAACTCAAGCCTCGCTGTCATGTGACACACAGGTGGATGCTATGCAAATTGAACTGCACGGCCTGCAGCCAAAAGAGATGCGCTGGCAGAGACAAACTGCGTGCTGTGCAACTCAGCCATATCTAAGCTAAGGATAAATGCTAAGAAACATAAAGCCAATCCAAAACAAAGAAAACAAGAAACTCAATAAAAAGGTTTCATAAATCGAAGCAACAAGAAAAGTTGCACCCACAACCACAACAAAAACAATATGTAGTTACAGCAACAAGAACAAACAGCGTACGTCCATGTGCTTAAATCAAACAACAAAAGAAGAAGACAAAAAAGGAAAGGAAAGGAAAGGAAAGAAAACCAGAAACAGCAAAGTGCAAAAACAACAACAAGAACAAGAAGCGGGTGAGTCATCGACAAGTCGGTGCATGCATGAACATGTTCCGAGCGCATAGAGTGTCGGCTCAAATAACAGAGAGTGTATGCGTGTGTGTGTGTGTTGCTAGGGGCTCTCTCGCTTAGTCCATGCCGAGCAGCAGCAGCAGCAGCAGCAGCAGCAGCAGAGGAGGAGCAGCTACGACAATGGGCCTCGGTGAACATAAAGCAACAACATCGAACAATGGGCCACATGTGCAGAAATTGTTTAGCATAGAAACAAAAGATAAACCATGAAGCAAGTGTAGCACAAAAGGAGAAGGTAATAACAGTACAGATGCCAAGCAGCGAAGAGTGTGTGCGAGTGCGAGAGAGGGAGAGGGAGATGTAGGGTCAGATAAGCAGGATGATGTTGTGTAGAGTGGTGTGGGTGGGGTGGGGAGGGGAAGCAAAGTCATTGGGAATACTCTGGTGATTATCAGATTAGAGCCAGAGAAATATCCGTAATCCCCTTAGAGGCCATTCCAGCGCTTGGCTTGGCTAAGTAAACTAATTTCGGGCAGAGCGAAAACCGAGGAGCTACACACACAGATACAATGTGAATGGGCTTGAAGTGGCCCACAGAGCCGCGGGCCACACTGTCAGTTATTATGCGAATATTTCAGGCAATAAAAAATGTAAATTTTTATCTGGCAAGCATTATAGGTAGCCCCATCCAAAGAGCCACAAGATACGAGATATGCACTCAAGAGGGCCCAAAGGGGGCCAAGAGCTCAACGCTAATTAAATAATAGTGCGGCCATTTGTTGTGTGTATCTGCGAGATACGCTTTTATCTGGCAGCACAAAAGAAATGCTCAAATTAAATGCGAATTTATAGCAGATATTCCCCAGCTTCAGCTCGTGTTGTGCTGTGCCTAGATTTTTGCTTCCATATAAGGCAGCAAAAAGAGCAAATATTAAAATAAATAATAGACGCAGATAATTCCGAGTTCTGTGGCTTGGAATGGCTATTTTTGTGTGTGGCAGCGATAAGTGGCAGCTAAATATATTCTTATATTGTACGTTGAGTGCCTAAGCACTGTAATTAATTATTTACACACACAAGAATAAATATGGAAAGCGAGAGATACAGTTTCCTTTGTGTAGGGACACACGTGGTGTGTTTTTGAGGCTATGCTGCCAGCAGAGTTGCCAGCCCAACCCAGCACACAGCTAGGGTCAGTCTAAAAAGAGTTGCCTAATACAAATCGAACTCTGGTCAGTCAGTTTTTCGTGCTACCTTGCTTTGCTTTAGCAATTTTTCGTGCTGAAAACTTTACTTTGCTGTCTTCATGTCCGGTAATAGCAGTGACGACTTCGACTCCTTAACGCCCACAAATAGTCGTGCGGCGCTTTCCACAAAGGAACTTTTGGGCCGCTGCAAGCAGCTGCTGGCGGTGAAGGAGCAGCAGACTAACAGCGAGCTGCATGACATCAAAGAACGTTTGCTGGTGGCCATTTCGAATCCATCGCTAACCCACTTTGATTCGTTGATGAGCTTTGAAGATAGTTACACTGCTGACACCGTGCAAAGCGGTACGAGAAGAGGAGTGGATCCAACCGGCGTCAACCGGCGGTGTGTCGGGATTGTGAAATCTCGACAACGGCCTCAACCTAACCTCACCTCAAGCTGCAGTTCCAGCTCGAGTGAGTTGTCCTTGACAACAAGAAACTCCCCGGACCACCGCACACACATGCTGTGGGACTATGACACGGTGGCAAATGGAAATCTAACCAAAGTGCAGCCACAGCTGGGCGCACTACCAGTGGCCATGCAGCAGCGCTACATACTGAAAGATCTGATGCAATGTTTGGTGGGGATAAGAGCCCAGTACATAGTGCCGGAGGACTTCATCATCGATGCGCAGCTGGATGGAAGCATGAGGGAGGTGGTGCAGCAGATTCTCCCACTAGCCACGTACTTCTCGGGCATACAGCGATTGATGGCAGCCAGCGATGGCCATGGACAGGTGCTCAATGCCTTGAACGCCGCGCTGCAGGATCTAACCAGCGATTTCTATGCGCTAATCGCACAAGTGGACGAGGAGCTGCAGCGCCAGCGTATGACCGTGCAGAACTTTCTCTACTATCTGCAGCCCACCATGTGGGTAATGGAGGAGGTCTGGAAGGTGCTGCGGGACATCCAAGCCAACGAATGCCGCGGCGGCGCAGTGTTGAATCTGCTCTACGGACGCATACGCCTGCTGGAGGGCAACGCGGCAGCCCAGCAGATGCTGACCACACTGACAAATGCGGCGGGAGCTCCCTTCATGCGCCAGCTGCAGCTGTGGATACACAAGGGACAGCTGGGGCACACCAGCAAGGAGTTCCTCGTGCAGGATAACGACACGGCAGGACTGCCGGGTCGCCACGCGGATGACTATTGGGAGAAACGTTACAGCGTGCGGCACGAGCAAGTGCCGGCATTCCTCTCACGCTACACGGACATCATACTGTCCACAGGGAAGTACCTGAATGTGATTCGCCAGTGCGGCAAGGCAACGCTGCCCATACAAGAGCAGCAACTGGAGCTGGAGCTGGCAGGGACCCACGCTGGGCGCATCGAGAAGGTGATCCTTGAGGCCTACTACTTTGCCGCCGGCATGCTGCTGAATGTGCTGCTCCAAGAGCACGATCTGTTGGGGCATCTCAAGTCCGTGAAGAACTATCTGCTGCTGGGACAGGGCGACTTCATCACACTATTCATGGACGCCTGCGAGCCAGAGTTGTCCAAGCCCGTGGATCATGTGCAGCTGCTGATCCTAGAGAATCTGCTGGGCCTCACGTTGCGTTTGTCCATGGGCAGGCAGGATCCCTACAACGATGATCTACACTGCGATCTGCTGACCTACGACTTGGTCACACAACTGTCCAAGATTATGGGCCAACAGGAGGAGCAGGCGTACGGACAGTCGCAGACACCACGCGAGGAACTGCGCGGCATCGAGTGCTTCTCCTTCAGCTACGAGGCCAAGTGGCCCTGCTCGATTGTGCTCAACCACATTGCCATTTCCAAGTACCAGATGCTCTTCCGGCAGCTCTTCTACTGCAAGCACGCGGAGCGACAGATCTGCAAGATTTGGAAGCTGAATCACGCGCCCAAGGATCGATCGTACGCGGAACTGCACCGCTCGCTGTGCACCCTGCGGCAGCGTATGATGAATGCCATCCAAAACATCGAGTACTACATGATCTACGAGGTGATTGTGCCCAATTGGCATCTCTTCAGCGAGCGCCTCAAGCACGTGGAGAATGTGGATGAGGTTTTGCTGCACCATCAGGACTTTCTCGACTCGTGCCTCAAGAGCTGCGTCATGACGGAGTCCTCGCAGCTGAGTCGCGCCATCTTTAAGCTCTGCAAGATCTGCATTGATTTTTGCAGCTTTATAGAGTTGGAGCAGTTGCTGGAGCCGTCGGAGCGGTTTGCGGAGCGTGTTAACTACTTTGATTTGGAGTTCAAGGAGCTGCTGGTGTCGTTTCTGCAGCAAATCATAACAACGGCTAGGAAGAATCGCAATAGCTTTATCAATCTGGTGTATCGCATTAATTTTAATGGCTTTTACACTGAAGAAATGGAGAAGATAGGCAGGGAGGCAGTTGAAGAGAAGGAGCTAAAGGAAGGGCAAGAACAGGAGCGAGAGCAAGACTAAGGAAAGGAGCCAGATCTAGACTAAAATCGGTGCTGAAACGAAGTCCAAAACCAAGCTCTGGACTCTCTTTGTTAGCTTACTTAATTAAAGAATTTAATTCAGACTTTCGTTCCCTTTTTAATCGCTCACTGGAGAGGGAGTGATTGAAACTTGGGCAAAAGAACTTGCAAGAATCTTTTGATTCCCTTTATTTTCCAGTTCTTCTCTTACAGTTTCTTCCACAAAAAAATGTTTTCTCTGCTTTATGGAACTTTTACATTTTTTTTACATTTTATTACATTTTCTTACATTTTTTTTACATTTTTTACATTTTTTTTACATTTTTTACATTTTTGTTTACATTTTTTTTACATTTTTGTTTGTATTTTTGTACATATTTTTACATTTTTGTACATCTTTTTACATTTTTTTTACATTTTTGTTTACATTTTTGTTAATTTATTTCCCGCTGAAACTTCAAGCTTTTCTGTCCAACTTCCTGTTGCATCTCCGCCTTGACTGGAAACCCCATTAGCTTGCAATTATTGTTATACAATAATAATTATCACAATATTTATGCATTATGTATTCCAAAGTTTGCTTTCTGTTGGCCACACACAGGCAGCTGATTGCACCTGCGGAACATTTGAAGATCGGGCCGCAGTGCACGCGGTGAGCCACCAATGCCAAAACCGCTGAACCACGCAACCACACGGCACACACTCATGTGTGTGCACACACAGCAGTGACTTTATTTGAGTTCTTCTTTTTTTGCTGCCACTTTGTGTGTTGTTCCATGGGTGAGTTTTTGCAGTTTCTTTTATTTTAGATTGGCATTAGTCATCGTCAGCGTCAGCGTCAGCGTCAGCGTCGGAGTTGCATTTTGTTTTTGTTTTGTTTTTGGTTTATTTTTTGTGCAAAATTACGCTAGGTTTCGAGTTGGGTATTTGGTTTTTGGGCATTTGTTGCAGGTTTGAATCGTTGTCAGATGGATTTAGCTCCAGCTTTTGCTCACATTTGTTTGTTATGGGAAATTCAAGTTAACTTTGGTTACTAAATCGTTAAAGAATTGCTCTTAAAATTAGCTTTTGTTGTAACTAAAATAAGTATTTATATTATTTATTTATTTTAAGCCTTTTCTTGGTTACATTTTCTGCGTTAGGGCATCCAAAATTTGTGCCTATAATTCTACTTTAGTTTTCCATTTCAGCTGTTTGAGTTGTTTGCTTTTTTCTGTTTTTTTCTTATATTTTTTCTCTTATTTTTCTGGGTTCTTTGGGGCTTTCAACCTGTTGTCGTTTATTGTACTTGACAGCAGCCATCGAAAGGGCAAGCAAACAAACACACACACACACACACACACACACACACACACTTACATTTCGCAAAAGCTCATTAAGTCGGTTATAATTTTGTTGTTGGTTTTGTTTCTCTTCTTGATGGAAACTTAGACCGAGGCATGAACTGTGCTAAATTTCGTAATCGAAAGTTGTTTTGATGGCTCGGGTTTTCGGTGAGTCGCTGCTTAGTCCACGATATTAAGTAATACTCAGATGGCTGTCTGTCTGTGTGCTGCAGCTGTATGGGTGCATGGGATACTTAATGTACTCCCGAGGCCTCATGCAAATGGAATTGAAATTATTCTGAACTCCCTCCCCCCGTCCCCGTACCCAGCGCAGAATAAACATTTGCTCCAAAGTTGTTTATGCAAGCGGTCTGTTTATTTTTTGCCATTAGATTAGTCACTTAGAGACAACTACTTGAAGAGTTCTACTTACTAGAGAGAGGGAGAAAAAGTTCCACTTGGGAGCAGCTTGGTTGGATTTTTACAGGAAATCCTGCAGCTAGCCACTGCTTTACGCAAAACTGTGATAAGATATAGGAAATAAATAAATAATAATAAATAAAATAAATAGAGAAAAAAACGCACTCAATTTATTTGTACATAAAAAATTAAAAAAAGTGTGGCACATATTTCATTTACATAAAAAACATTTTAAAATAAATCAAATACATTAAATAAGCAGGCAAATATATTTATTGTGATTATAAACATATATTTTCCGCAAATATTTGCATTTTAATGGGAACATAATTTTATTTTAATATTTTTGGGTGCACATTTGATGATAATTAATTGTATATTTAATATATTTTAATCTGTATACATTTTTTCATATTTAAAACCAAATTGAAACATACGATTTTCATGCCTCTAGAAAGCCTTAGAACATTCGTAAATATTATTCAAATAGACCTTGTCTGCATATAGAAACTTGTGCAGAAAATTCTGTAAAATATTTATGAGAAAAATCTAAACTCAGTCACTTTTGGTAACTATTTCTTTGTAGGAAACATTATACAAATAATTTGTTGAAGAATGAGCTCGCAATTAGCGCTAACTTACATTTCAATTGAGAAATATATAAAACATTATTAAGACACATTTGGGCAGCGTAGAAATGGAAATACAACTGCTCTGCGCCGCTGCTTAATGACCAATAAAACAATAATTAATTATTTAACTGCCAGTCTTCAGCCAACGATGACTTCCCACTGTCTTCTAATTGAGTTAATCAATTAATTTTGCTTACATTTATATTTAATGAGCAACTAAATGATGCTGTGGAAACAACGGCTTTGAGCAGTAACCAAAAATGTTGGTAAATAATTGTTGAAGAAGCTGCAGACAGCATTTGGCTCACCATCATTTAAATACATTTATAAAGAATGAATCTTGACAACAATTATTTGACTTTCGCAGAGGTATAATCGAGTGCCCCTCCAACTAATAATCCAAAAATTTAGCAATACGCGTCTGGCAGAGGTCTCCGTTTAGTCACGACAGTCGTAGGGGACAGAGACTCAGTTCTTATCAGTTTCAGTGCCATTTCCAGACACAAAGAGAGGGGAACTGCATTTAAATGATCTGTGCAAATAGTGGGGCTACTTCGTAGTGTTTACTGGCTCTCTGGTCTGTGTCTGGGCAGGTGTAGTGCCCTCAGCACGTGTTATCAATGAATCAGCGGGTGTCTGTCTGGCTCTATGGATACACCACTTGGCATGCAAAGCCAAACCTTCAGACCCTACGCTTGACAGGCAGCAGCAAAACCTTTAAATAGAAAGTAGGGAAAGAAAAACAACAGAAAAGCAATTGTCAGCGTGGTCTGATGGTCTGTCTTATCAGCGCTGCGACTTCGATTGTAAAAACCTTATCGCCGATGGCCTCTCTCCTGCTAGGCACTTCCTCAGTCAGAAAGGGCGAGAAATTCACAACAAAAACCAGACACTTGATGGGCAGGCAGAATGCCAAACAAATACTCGAGCATTATCGAAACGGAAGCCACATTTGTGATCACTGATCAATGATCAGTCAGTGGGTAAACGAAGCCAGACAAGTGCCGAATCCCCAGGGGAGGTGGTATCACATTTAAGCGTGTTTCTTGGCCTGAGAATAGATGAGAAATGGCAGCAAAGTAAACAGCCAAAGAAGCAAAAACTTATGCAGAAAGTTGAGGACAAATATGACACTTTGGCGAGCTCTTAAAATATCCCAAAAGTGTAGGAAAAATATGTAGAAGAGGCCACAGAAGAGTGTGAGATCCAATAAGCAACTCAAAGCCTGAAGCAATGTCAGAACTACATCAAAGATAAGCTTACAGCTTTAATTACAAAAATTCGAACACCAGACGTTCAAGGTCTTCTGTCAGCCTTGATGCCCCATAGATATAACGATTTGGCTCACAGATAACAACAAAACTGTCCAATTGCTTTCACTTGAGACGACTAGTGCCAGCTTTATGGCCTTATTTGGTCAAATAGTGACAGTCCAAAGTCGCCGCAGATAAGATAAGAAAATGTGAAGATGTTTTTTTTTGTTTGCTGTCTGAGCGCTGTCTTGTGGCATGTTTTATGCCCTGTGCTGTGGTTTCCAACACTGGAAACACGCCTCAAAATGTCAACTTCTAAACCTTCCAAGAGAATAAATACTCGTACTGCCCGTAGCTTGAGTATCTCTCTGCTTTTTGTGTGTGTGTTTTGGGCTGTTTGCTTGTTGTTTTTGTGTCTGGTGTCATATCACAGGTCCACAACACATGAGCGGAGTGCTGACCATTTGAACACTCTTCAACACTGTTTTAAGGGGTACTTTGTTAAGGGGAAACTTTTCCACTTTTTGCTGCATTCCTTTTGGACCTCTTCTCTGGCGAATTTTTGCCCTAAGTTCTGTCTTAATTGTTGCCCCTCCGGTGCTCCGGCAAAGTCATCTTCTAGTCGTTACGTTTACTGTCATAGTTTTTGACTTGTTTCATGTTTGTTTCTGTCATGCCGCTGAATGCCTGACCTGGCTGCTGGCTGCTGGCTCTCCCTGCTGCTGTGGCAGTTTGCAGTTTGCATTACATGAAAATGACCTACAAATAAATTGAGCTCTCATGCGCTGACAATTGTGGGCATATTAACTATAGGGAAATGCCAACAGCGGAGCCAACTCCTCTTTAGTTCATTTTTGTGTCTTACAAATGCTTCACAGAACATTTTTCCATGCCAGAGTCTGCCAATTTTGCTTGAATTTTCTTTAGTTTGATTTTCTGTTAGAGCATTTCTCGTGCTCCCATGCTCCATTGTCAGTTTTTTCACTGCACATTTTGTTGTTTACTCGCCGCTTACTCAGATATTTAATTATGTTCACTTGTTGCTTAACAAAGGGCCGCCACGTCGAATGCGTAGTGCCGGCCATCCTGTGCCCTGCCCCGCACTCCGCTTGCACTCCACCCCCCCCCAGTCCTACCCACTGCTGCCAGCGCCGCAAACAATTTGCATTATTAATTTAATTGAAAAACTTGTTAAATTAAATATTTAAATTTCGATGCAGCCAAAGTTTGCCTGCCATATAATATTATTAATATGAATAAATGCAAATTGAGTTACATGTGAGCCACAGTCGAGTGGGTAGTGGGTAGCGGGTAGCGGGTAGCGGGCGGTGGTGCTGCGACATTTATGGAACATTGTGGCAATTAATGTGAT